AAACTTTAGTTCAAGATGACCAAGTGGGATTTGTTTCCACCAGAGAGGCTAGGGACAGTACTACGCGGGTTCTCAATGTCATTCATGAGGCATGCTCCACGTCTTCTCCGGTGATGGTCCTTTCGACCGACGCCGAGAAGGCGTTTGACAGAGTGGACTGGATGTTTTTGAAGTCAACTCTCCGCCATATCGGCCTCGGTCCACATATGCTCTCATGGATATCCGCGCTCTATTCCCACCCCACAGCGGCTATCAAAGTCAATGAAGCTAGATCCGCATACTTCCCACTCACAAACGGCACGCGACAGGGATGCCCACTTTCCCCGCTGATGTACATCCTCGCTCTGGAACCCTTTTTGGGTCATGTTAGGATGAATGGGGGGATCTCAGGCTTCCGGTCGCACTCCATGGAACACAAGGTCTCCGCATATGCGGATGACCTGCTATTTTTTGTCACGCAGCCCCAGGTCTCCCTCCCTGAACTCATGAGGGAGTTCAAATGTTACGGTTCCCTCTCCAACCTGGCGATCAATTGGTCCAAATCGGCGGCGCTGAACATCACGTTACCTCAGGTGGAACGGGACGCGATACGGGCCGCATTTCCTTTCAAGTGGGAGGCTCATTCGCTACCATATTTAGGCACCCATATCACGGCGGACCTGAAGTCGCTGTATGAGGCCAACTTTGCCCCCTCTTGTCACGGATCAAACAGGATTTAAGAGCGTGGCAGGCTCTAACGGTGACATGGTTTGGATGCTGCAACGCTCTTAAAATTACCATACTTCCCAGAATAATCTATTTGATGCAAGCGCTGCCCATTCGTCTACCACCTTCTTTCTTCTCTCGCCTACGCAGAATGTTCTCGCTTTACGTTTGGGCAAATGGGGTTTCCAGAATTGCCAGACGCCTTCTTACGATGCCCAAATCAGCGGGTGGGATCGGGCTCCCCGATGTGAACCTTTATTACAAAGCGGTACATCTGAATAGAGTCGTGGACTGGTGTTGTCACCCCACTCACAAACAGTGGGTGCGTATGGACATAGAGGTCTCACCAATCCCGCTGTCAGGTCTTCCGTGGCTTTCAAGCCCCATGCCCGCGTCTTGCGTCCGGCATCCCACAATCGGAGCCACACTCAGAATTGCGAGGGCCTTGTTTCGCTCCTTGTCCATCTCCCCATTCCCTTCTCCGCTCACCCCAGTGATAGGAGACCCGGACTTCCCAGTGGGTATGGAAAACCGACGCCTACGCACTCTCATAGGACTCAACAAATTTCGGGTTCGGGACTTTAGGGTTGGGGGAAGTTGGATGGGAATACCGGCTCTGAGAGCTTTACTGGAACCACCCCTGGATGCTTGGACTACCTACCAACTCCGGCATTTTTTGTTGGCAATCCCTGCCTCGCTACAGATGGATAGGTCACTGACTCCCTTTGAGGACATGTGTGGGAGGGGGGAACCAGTCAGACATGCACTGTCTCAGACTTACAAAATGTTAGTTGCCCCCCCACCAGATTTCACCCCGCAATTTCTGCAGAGGTGGGAGGCAGACCTAAACACTGCCTTTAGTCCTGTGACTATAATGCTGTAGCTAGACTTGCATTGACTCACTGTGCCGCTGTGCCTTGTACACTACTGTCTCATTTGAGGTTTTGTTACTTATGATGATATGTATACTTTACTCTTAATGTATAACAGTTGGCTGCCTGCGTGCAGACCTATACATGCAATATTTGTGTCAGTTTGCATTTTTGATTAATAAAGCTGGATTTCAAAAAATCCTGTGGGATGTAAATGACTGGAAGGATGTGTAAAACAAGTTGGGGTGATAAAAAAAGACATGCTATGTGAAGACTTTTTCTAATTTCAGTCCTGGGGACTAGAGTTGAGGTGCTTTGTGATTGTCGTGTGAGTGTTTGTAAATAAATATGGATATTTGGGCCTGGAATGTCACTCCAATTTCCTGATCCTTGACACCCCTCAATTCAGGTTGCCCAAGGAGCTGCCATAATATGGTTGCCTGTAGTATGTAAATGCCACCTTTTGGAAAAATCAGGGCAAGGAACTAGCCAAAGTGCATCCAACAAAGCAATGCAGCCCATAACAACAAGCATGGTAATTCAGAAGTTGTGAACTGCAGATCTTGTGCGTTTCAGGGGCTTCTGGGGTGCAATTGAGTATTAAGATCAAAAATAACTGTTAAAGATTTCCGCTAGTGTCTAATACCCATCTGTAAAGTTATCACCATCTATAGAGTAAGCACTTAAAAAAGGGCTTACGCTAAGAGAAATGCACAGACTTCCTGCCTGGCTGTCTCTGACAGCATGAAGATCGTGAAAGTGGAATCTAAACTCCCAATCTATGCATTTTCATCTGGTTGTAACTTTGGAAAACCAATGATTCAGAATGATAGCTATGCAGCTGATATTCGTATAGGGAGGGGTTAACAAAATCAGCTTCACATACTTCCTCAGTAAAGGTTTCCCTTTAAGAACGGGCTTAAGATTTACAGATCTAAATAAACACCAAATAGTTTTTTTACTAATTTCATGCAATGCTTTAACTCTAAAGAATGCTCAAAATACAAATACAGCTGCTTATTGCATTTATCATATGTAATATTTATTAAAGGCAATTTAACTTGTAGACTTAAGGGAAGCATTAGTAAGACACTTAACATAACCAAAAAGGAGTATGCGATGCCAAAACAAGATGCTTGTTGTGCATTCACCCACCACAGGTCTCATCAGCCTGATAAACTGCTGCATTCAGTTTGAAAACGCAGTCATAATTCTCCATAGAATGATGCTAAAAGCAACAAATTTATTTGTCTTGGAGAAGGGGAGGGATTGTTAGTTTTGTTGGAAGGTGATGAAAAAATCAAAGCCAAGAATCTCCTCAAAAGCCTTCTCTTCCTTATTTTGGCAGGCAAAGCAGAGGATGTCTCTGAGACAATAAAATCAGAAAGTTTACTGCACCTGAACATTTGCAAAAATTCTAATCTCTTTTCAAAACTAGATACTAGAACTCCTAAGAAGTATTTATAAAATAATAATAATAGTTTTCAAGAGATAAAGAACTCCAGCCCCGTGGCTGGATTTAAACGTCATGCTCCCCTAGGCCAACTATCTTGTTTCCCCATCTTCCTAACCCATGTAACCAGCTAAACTTAGTATCGCGCTAACAATCAGTCGCTATCAGTTGCCATAGGCACACCGAGATTGGGAAGGGTATGACAGCAGACAGTATGTGCAGAAGAGGTGTACTGTATATGATAGCAGGCAGTATGTGCAGGAGAACTGCATGGAGGGTGTGGTGCCAGGCAGTATCTGCAGCTGAGGAGAGTGGAGGATTTATTGGCAGACAGTATGTATAGGACAGGAGTGTAGAAGAGATGATGGCAAGAAGTATCTGTAGGAGAGGAGCGTGGAGGTATGACAGAGGAAAGTATTGCAGGAGAAAAGTACAGAGGGTAAGATGGCAAGCAATATGTACAGGAGGGGAATGCAGAGAATATGATGGCTTGCAGTATGTGCACCAGATGATGGTTTGCAGTATGCACAGGAGAGGAGTGCCAGTGGGTATGATGGTGGGCATTATGTGCAGGGCATAAGGAATGAAGGTATAAAGGGGGGCAGAATGTTCACAAGAAGAGTACGCTTGTTATGATCGTGGGCATTATGTGCAGAGGAGTGAGAAGGGCATTATAGTGGGGTGAAAAGGTTATGACAGCAGGCAGTATGTGCAGGGCAGTGTTTGAGTATTGGAGGCTATGAGAGGGGTAGTATGTGTAGGGTAGTATGGAAAGAATGGCAATTGGCAGTATATTTAGGAGAAAATTGCAGAGGGTATGCAGAGGGAAAATTGCAGACGGTATGACAGCTGGTAATATACATAGGAGAGGAATGGAAAAGGTATGAAGATGGGAGTACTCCAGGCTTGTTAGCAGCTGGTTTGGCTTGGTGCAAAACCAGTTGCTAACAAGCCTGAAGTATTCCCAACGCAACACAATACAACTTTTAAGCTGCAGGGATTGTAGGCCATATACATAATTTCTCTCATTAGGCCCTGATGAAGAAGGTGAGTTTTGGACTTTCCCTCCCACCCCCCAAAAGGCACTGGATGTTCTTCCTGAATCCCCTTGACCCTTGTATCTGGACTACTTTAAATGGTGTGGCGCTTTAATTCCAACATCTGCAGTAATTAATTAAATGATTGCATTACTTTACAGTATATATACAGACTCCCCTACATATCAATCAGCTTGCCCACTCAAATAATAATGATGTCTCGCCTTACTTCCCTGAGCAGAATGAAGTGTGTGGATGGGAAGAAGCACCAGAAACACAGCTTGCGGTAGGGCAGTGATGTGTAGTGCCGTTATGTGGAGTGAGTGTGCAAGGGAAATGGATGGGAGAAAAATCGGAAACATAAATGTACATGTGCCTGTGTTGCTGTTTAGCGTTAGATTTTGCTATATGAAGTTAAATTTGTATTTCCTTCAGTGCATTTTTGTGTCTTCTATATTGTATATTTTGGCTAATGGCAGCTGTAAATGGCAGCTTAAGTGCCCTTTTGAATCCTACCAACACCTGGAGCAGATCCCTGTCTACTGCTTATATGATTCACTAAACCGCAAAGCCAACTTTGTGCACAAGCACTAGGCTGTTTTTTATGAAGCACAGTATAAAGCATCTCAACAGAATTATATACTCTTGGGATTCGTTGCACTGCACTTGGCAAATCTATTTAGCGAAGGCCAATGAAGCTGGAGCTTAGGCAACCATTCAAGTAGCTGTCTACACGTGGTCTAAGAAAAAGTATATTCTAACAGAAGTGAATGTTTGGTGTTTGCATGACTGGCCAGCTAAACAAGAGTTTTGCAAATCAACTTGTATTTCACCTAATAAACATCAATTTAGCCAAACTCTTGGATCCTTTTTGGCTGTGTATTGATTTAATTGTTAAGCAATATACACATTGGTTCAACTTTAGATACTTACCTGTAGGTGTGCTGTATGATGCCACAGCACTTCCTTCAAGGTCTGCGGGTAGACAGTTACCCCTCAAAAAAACTGAACTGCTTGCTGTCTTAGGTATGCCAGGGTCTGTAGTAAACAATGGTGTTTGGAAAATAAATAAGTGTAACTATGGGGGGAAAAAGGTTGACAAACTAAATACAATGGTGACACCACACAAGAATGAAATCACAAAAGTTAAATCCTAATAATATAACAGAACAAAGCATGATAGTATAAAAGAGTGAGATTACAAATGAGTGGCGTCACTCATGTATGTATGAATGCCATCCACAAGAGTGACAGACAACACACAAAACATTCAAATACATCACAAAAAAGTGATATCATATTAGTATGACATCACATGAGAGTGACACAGAAGTGGCAGAATTCACAGTGTGTCCTCATTGAAGAGTATAATCACACCAGATTGACAACACAGAAGTTTGACATTATTAAAGTGTGTCATAACAGTGTGACATCACATACATATGACACAGGCACAATACATAAACAAGAACAGTATACACCCTCTATAATTTTACGCAGTTAAAGCGAAACAATTGCATATTTTCAACAAGTGCTTATATTGAATTATTTTTGTAAAGATAACCACAGCTTCTGCATCTTCTTTGGTGTACTCAACTTCCATAGAGCCATTTTCATCTGGAAGGGAAAGGGTCAACTGCAGACATGACATGCTATATTAATGTCTGTATTAGGTGACAATGTGGGCTGTATTATCCACTTATGCAGAAGTGGTAAGGAGTACAGAAGGGGAGTTAAGACTAGTGTCATGCTGTGCAGTGTGATCTGGTCTGCAAGCAAATGTAACACACAGAATCTGGTTTACTGCTGTGCACTATTTACATTCAGGCAAAGCTGTGTGTATCAGCTTAAAAAGGTATGTGTCTTAAATGTCAATCACTGTTGCTGTGAGCAATATTATTCAGTCATGTGCTGGTTTCACCTAACTCCTCTCGCCAGTCAGTGCCCAGGAGGATGAAAAGAAGCATAGATGGTCATGTGTCCACTCTTTCAGAAAACCTCAGACGTATAATAAAATAGGAAAATACTGCGGTTCATCTTTTACAACTTCAGGGACAGTTTACGCCTTTAGGAAATATCAATCACAGTTTTTCTCCTGCTGCTTGGAAATAGTGCAGCAGTCCTTGCCTGTCTGCCCCTTTATTTTAAAAGGAGAACTATGAGGTGAGTGATTCTCAAGCAACCTTATAGTTCGAGCCGACAATGAAACTGTCACACATCGGCTGAATAGATCGGGAAGTGAGTGAACACATACCGTCGCTCGCTCACTACTCGATCATGTCCCTGCAGAGAGCTGTGACTGTCACTCACGGCTCCCTGCAGCGCTGATCCTCCAGCGCTGACTGGCGGAACGGACGAGGGAGGGGGCGGGTGCAGCTGGTTCTGCCTCCAGATAGGCAGAGCCAGCTATCACTCACGCAGCCGGGTGGATCTAGACAGTAATGTCGGGATCCGTCCCGGCTGCGGCGGTCTCAGTATACCGCGAGCTGTAGCTCGCGATATACTGAGCTTTGGGTCACGGGAGGCCGCTAGTTTATGTCCTCCCGTGACCCTTAGGAGAACTATGGGGAAAAACACTGACCCCATAGTTCTCCTTTAAGGAACAGAAACTTTGATCACAAAGACATAAGTAATAACCAGCTACCCCGGTTATACTGAGACCATCAGTTTAAAAAAAAAACACCTGCCAAACATTAGCTGGGTTATTCACAAAAAGGTGAAGAGTTTGGAGAAGGCAGGAGAAGTGAACAATCTAGGACAACATAGCTGATTTGGAAAAATGCTCCAATTCAGCTCTTTCCGGTTCAGCTCTGTTGTCCTAGATTGTTCACTTCCCCTGTCTTCTCCAAACTCTTCACCCTTTTGTGAATAACCCTCTTAGTGTACACCAACTTGCACACTTATATGAACACACTCGTGCATTCGGGTTTAGATTTACTAATCCATGTGCACATTTGGGCACATGCACTTACTTATTAACCACCTCCGGGCCGGCCGTAGTAATAAAACGGCCGGCCGGAGCTCTCTAGATCTGAGCGGGCGTTGGGGGTTTTATTAGCCCCCGTATGTGATAGCAATAACGTTTAGTGAAAAAAAAAGGGAAAAAAATTAAAGCCCCCCCCCAAAAAAATTTTTAAATTACACATAAAAAAGAATTTTTAAAAATTTGCTGAATACTGAAAAATGGCCTGGCCAGGAAGGGGGTCTAAACACCTGGTCTTGAAGTGGTTAAAGCTTGTCAGATGTAACAGTAGATAGGCCTTACATCAAAATCCAGATCCACTGTACAATAAATGGACCTTATGGTGTTTATTGTTAACACACACTGATAACCTTATCTGGATTAGGTAGATGGATTTTGTTTATGAATGCTACATTTCGCAGTGCTACTCAAACACATGCTTTCTAATACAACGTGCAGGAGAGGCTCATTTGACCTATTTTGCCTGCTATGTAAACAGATCCAAGAAACACAAATCAAAGAAAGCAAAAGAAAAGGAGGGGTGAAGGAGTAAGAGAAAAGGGAAGGGGGAGGTAATGACCCTGGTATACAGTATTTCAGTGTGTATCATTTAATAATGAGAAAGAGTAAAAACAGTGTTAACAACTATACTTTATACTTTAAAATAGAACATAAAATAAATTTCAATATTTACTCACCAACTGAATCAAAAATGAACTGGTCCTGAGTAAGTGCTAAAAATGATGGAACCATTATGGAGAGTATCGTCTTCTGTACCTGCAGTTTTGTCCGTATGCAGAACTATTTAGAAGTCAAGAACCCAAAATTACAACATTTTAGTGATTTGTTTAGAAAGCAACAACAGAAATGTATGCAATTATCTGTACCCTAGAAACAAAAAGGAGACTGCCAAGCAGTTTGATCTTTTGAGCTGGATTAGAGTGTCAGAAGTTGACTATCAAAGTTCTGGGGAAAGGAATGTACTGGCCAGGGTTCCCATATCTTTTCATACAGGACCATTTTGTCAGTTAGTTTAGCCATCGGTTTCTCAAAGACCGTGGTCTGATACAGTCTAGTATTCACTTCAGTGTTTCTAAGAGTATGGGCTTTCAATGATTTCACGATTGTTTGTTTGGTGACTGTGAACAGGTGATTTAGAAACGTAAATGTTTATTTTTCATTATCTATTGATTTGCGTGTACTTTATGGTTTGTTTTTAGTACGAGATCGTTTTGCGAGCAGGATTTTACAGTGAGCCAGATTTGAGTCTTCCTAATATAGCGTACAACCGAGTTCTGGTTCCCATTTTTGTTGATAGGTAGGTGGTGTAGTTGTAAAATGATCTAACATAGAGAATACAGTAAGTAGATAATAGGCTGCGAGAATGTGGGTCATAATTGCACTGTCGTTCAAATGAGGTGAAAGGTTGTTGTGGTAATGGATATGAAACTACAATTTGGAGGTAATATCTGACCAACAGATATCTGAGTATCTCAGCGTTTGGCAACTTATGAAGTCTCCTCAAGTTTTAAAATGTTATGGGTCCATTGGACATGATTAAAATGTACAAATGGGTAAGGCCCTGGGGTGACCAATGTTTAAAGAGACCTGGGGTGGTAAAGCCGGGGGGTTTTGAGGAAGGAGAGAAGAGGAAGATGTGGAGAAAGTAAGCCTCCAGAATATTTCACTCTGTCCTAAACATTGAGGGAATGATTAATGATGAGGTTGAAGAAATGGAAGTTATCCTTAGGAGGCATAGCAAGATGTGTATGGCCAAGGGGTCACAGTCTACAGCTTGTAGAACCACACACAATGGGACTTTAGGGGTGCCGGGTGTTTTGCTAGTGAAGTGATTTGCTATTTGTGCTGCTTGAAATTGTATTACATTATTAATAATAATACCTTAACTAATAAATAATACCTTGGAGGTAGCAAGCAGAATGACCGAGCTGAATGCCGCCCGGCGGCATTCGGCTATTCGCTCACTGCCGTTCAGCCCCTATAGGAATAGGGGCGAACGGCAGCAAGTGAACTGCCCGAGGTTCGGCTCAGCCAATCTAGATGTTGGATCGCCTGAGTTGGAATGGCTTTTTAACTTCAGCTCAGCAGAACATGCAGAGCATGTTCGGCTGGCCGTAGCCAGCCAATGTACAGCTGATTTTAGCCGAAATCAGCCGTACAGGGCCGAAGTGAAAAGCCAAACGGCGCTCGGCTCACTTCAGCTCGGTTGGCTGCCTTTAGCAGCTTGGTGAATAACCCCCTAGAGTTTCAGGACGTATAAGGAGATGGATTCATCTGCACTTAATGAAAATGGCCTCCCTGGGAAGAATAGAAGGGGGGGAAAAAATATGGCATCCAAAGAATAAAAAGCATAAAATTATCTATAAGTATTTGTTTGTAGATTGCCATTAGTAAACATTTCTAAAGGTGTAATTTTTAAAATAAGTTCCTCTTTAACTAACTACTGATATGTGCCCCAGTACATGTTTAAAATACACTACAAATTGACAAGCTGGTGTATGTTTTTATAGAGCACATTTAAGTCTTTCTGCATTTATCAGTGGTAAACCTTTGGCAGGACATTTTGGCTTACTAGCCCCAATGACAGACTGCAAGGAAGAAAAGGTAAAACAAACTTATTTTTTATTTCCTGAGAACGTGCAAACATTAGTCAAGTTGCACAGCATCGAGATTTAAGCAGAGTTTTAAAATAGTGATTACAGCTGGATTCCAGAATAAATCAAATCCTAGACCAGGATAGAGGTGTGTTTAAGCTTTCTGTTAACCGGTTATCATTATAATCTGTCTTCATATACAGTTCCTTCGTTACACACAAGTATGTAGTGGAAAATAAACACCTTTTGTATTTCCTGATGTTACAAAATGCTTCCATTCACGCACAGTCACCTGGTATACCCTTTTGAAATGCAGCATTTCAGAACAAAACAACACAATATATTTTCTTTTCTTCTTTCTTTTGAAGGTTATTAGGTATTTTCAAAATTATCAAAAGACAATGAAACAAAATGAACATCAAAGTCATGGACAGGTAGGGGGAAAAAACAAATAGTTCCTGCTGCATATACTATGAAGTACATGCAAATATTTTTAAATCATCAGTTCTGCCGCAAATCCAAATAAAAACCCTCGAGCAGACCTGGGACAAGGTTTGCTGACACCCAAGTCAAAGATGTCAAAGTCTATCCCTCTCCCAAATGATCTGAGATGTGGAGAACTGATATCAATGCAATCCAGTGCTGAAGTAACCTTCCCAGGATGCAAAGCTTGGGCACATTACATCACTAATGCCCAAGAGGACCAGGAAGTGAAAAAAATTGTAATTGTAAGTAAAATTAAAATATGTTTAATCAGTGTAAGAGGATTTTATATCAGCATGCAAAGCTGTATGCTGATGTGATTTTAAGTGAAAGGGGGTAAAGGTCGGCTTTAAGGAAGCCCTAAAGCATTAGAGATATGGGCCTTTTCACTGCACTGGCCATAGGCTTACGAACTGTTGGTCCATGAAGATCCATACGTGATGCCGAGGAGGTGTTGCAATATGGTTAAATCAGTTTGATTTGGTGATGATGAGCACGATAAATCAAAGTTAAGAAATATTTAGAGGTGCACCGAAATGGAAATTTCAAAACTGAAACGAAACCGAAATAAAAAAAATTGTCAGGCCGAAACCGAAAAAGTTTTTTATTTAAATTTTTTCAAATTGTTTTAATATTTTATTTTTATTTATTTTTTATAAACTTTTAAAAAAATGTATATGTATTTTTATTTATTAATTAATTTTTATTTTTTACTTTACTTTTAGGGGCTTTGGGAAAATATTTGGGGTCTAAACAGACCCCTGATGTTTCCTTTTTAAAACAGAAAAAGAAATTGAGGACACAAAGTCCTCAATCTCTTTTTCTGCAGCCCCAGTTATCAATAAACAGGAATCCTCTATGCTGAGTGTTCCTGTTCAATGATAACATGAGGACATTGTGTGTTTACTATAACCACAGTTATGAATGAACAGGGGGTGATGTAGATCACTCCCATTCATAACTGAGGCTATAGTAAACATACTATGTCCTCAATTATGTACAAACACTCACCGATCATTGATCCCTGAGTGTTTATACCGCCCCCTCAGCTGTCACAGGAGGCTGAGCAAGCGGTGCAGGGAGGAGAGCTCAGCCTCCTGTGGCAGCACGGGCTATCTCCGCCCCCACACCGCTCTGCCGGACTGTGGCAGGAGGCTAAGCAGTGTGGGAGGAGAGACGCCGGCCGCTCACAGTGCTCTCCTCCCGCAGCACTCGGCCGGCTGTCACACTTTCTCTCCTCCCCATTGGGACACAGAGCAGCACCCAGCGTGGAGGACAGAAAGCACTGATGTGCCGTTGTATTGGCACACAAATGGCACTTTCGGCATTTAGCAAAAAGTGAAATTTTCGGCCGATATGTTTTTCGGCGGCCGATATATCGGTGCATCCCTAGTTAGTTTTAACATCATTAAAACCAACAAATTTGTTCTTCCATCTGGGAACCTAGGTCACCTAATAATGACCAACATTTTCTGGCAAATTTTATTTAAGTCAGAGAAAAAAAAATGGAAGGAAGAAGGTGATAAAGGCAATAATAAACAATCAGGGGGATCTATGCCTTGATAAAAAGTTAAATAACAACTACATATTATACGGGAAAGTGTAATCCCAGTGTAATCATCAGAGCTCCACTGTCATTTTGACAGCTTATTTACTCTGCTCTCTGTGTTGCTGTCGGTGTTCCTGAAAGAGAGCGGGGCCAGCTATCACACTGACAGGGACACCTAGCTAATTAAACATTAGGAGAACTGCTCTGTCAATGTAACCTGCAGATCTGCAAGGCTGAGCTGTCAGTCTAACAGCCTGGTTCTGAACACTGCGGCAGATGGCTGGGGCAACACAGTGGTCCCAGTGGGTCACCCCACCACTACGGCGTTGAAGACAGGAGCCTCTCCTGCCTCACCCCAGCCCAAAAAGATTCTCATTAAGGGACAAGAGATTAGATCAGATGAACCGGAAAAAATAATACATCCTAGTTACAAAGCATCAAATATAGCAACCAAATATAAGACCATTTATAAAAAACATGAGAGAACATTAGAGACATGAATAGAGGAATTCTGTCACAGTGGGCCATATAGTTACAACAAACAAACAAAAAGGCAAAAAGATACTTATGAACGATTGTCTAAGTTGACTCACAATAAAAGTCATTTGAATGTATTTAATATTTAATAATTTAATGGCCCATGGATGTGGACTGAATCTATGTATTCTTTTGATTTAATTATTTTTTTATTTGTTTATGAATTTGTTTATATTTAAATGAGAAACGTATTTAATAGATACAGGTTTAATACAAAAATAGAGATTGTGTATCAGCACCTTAAAAGCCCCAGTCCTCTATTTCACGGCTCTACATCTTTAGGGGGTGTTGGGTGCTGCTTTCTTCTATGCACCCAACAAACTCCGTTGTTGCTTTTAAAACATGACAAAAGAAAGTGGGGACAGAAGTTAGGTGTTTCCCATAATGAAATATGAGGATTCATCATTTATCCGAGAAAAACCTATTGTTCCTAATTTCTTTTCTCAAGTTCTATATAAATAGCCCATAAAGTATTGTTTTAGTCATTTCCTAAATGGATTTTGGCTACCGCTATTGTTTCCTGGTTTGTTTATAGAGGACATCAGTGTTTTGCTCTTCTTGATACTTCATTAACTTTTGGTATTAAAAATACTTATGTACCATTGAACAACAAAATACTTATGTACGCCATTGAACAAATAAAACAAAAAAAACTCGCCTATCCTCATACCCACAATAGTAGTGCTTTTCTATTTTTGATTTATTTTGTGCAGTTTAAAGATCAAATCTTATGTTTGTTTGCCAGTGCTATCATTAACAGAAATGGTTAAAGAACACAGATTTGTCATTTATCATTATGTTGCTTTGCTCATTGCACAAATATGTGAAACTGGTCAAAATATTAGAACTATGAAGTAAGAAAACAATAATATACTGTATGTTGCATAATACCACTGAAATGGCGTAAGCACATTCTGAAATATAATCCATACCTTAACTGTTACTGAAGGGACAGCTTCGGACTCCAAAGTAATGTCAACAGCTTGCTGATGAAAATAACCCATTCATAGTAAATTAGTATGAAGTGAGAAAGCTTTGTAAAAATAATACTGTAATAAACAGAAACATTCACGGGGTTGAGAGTGACTTCTACTTGACTAAAAATCTATTGCCATATTGTAAGAGATTTAATAAAGGTATTATGAACTGGTGGGTTGTTGTTTTTGTGTTTTTTTTCATTTAGTGAATACCTTAATGGCTTATATCGCCTAGAAATACAGTTTTCACTGGGAGCTGCTATGACAATAATCCATGCTAGCACTGTGGTCAAAATCACAAATGACATAAAGGATGCAATCTGTAAATAGCTATAAATACATATCCCCACTGTAACATTTTCATTACCTGTTGATCCTGCCAGTAAATCTGTTCCTGTTACAGGTCACGTTATTCAGCAAATGTTTCCACTGCAAGGGCTGGGACATACCATTTAACACTGACAATATGTTGTTTACAACAATCAACTTTTATTTATATGGCCTAAACCTTTTTCTTTTCAAAAGGTTTGTTTGTTGCTTACTTAAAGACCATTTAAAACTACATGTTCATGTAACACTACCCCCTCCACAGGGTGACAACCCTTCTGCTCCGTTTTAATGCAGGATGAATAATGTTGTCACCCAGTTACAAAAAGCACTAAAAAAAGCCACTACTGGCAGGATTAACAGGCAATAAAACTTTGTTACGGGGGACCTCAGTAAAACAAAAACGTCCATTGATAGAATGCATTGTAAATGGCATTTTTTTATTTTGCCCATAGTTACACTTTAAAATTCAAACAAGAGGCCTGCCAGCCAGGTTTGAACTGCAAAAACTGCAACAAATGCCCCAAATCATCAAACTTAAAGGTTGACAAATAGGTGGTACATTTTCTGTGAAAACCCTGAGTACATGGAACGTGCTGTCATAAAGGGCAGTAGACATACATGCTTACACTAGAGCTTTGTAAAGTACAGATCCTTGGGTTGTTGGAGCATTTCCATTCACACTCCTTTTCATTATTACGAACATTACCAGTGTATAGGATAATGTGCAGGGGTGTGGAAATTTTTGAAAAAACTACTTGTCCAAGGGCTAAAGCAGGGGTCAAATCTACTTGTCCCTCATGACAATCTACTTGTCCCAATACAAAAAAAAAGTTTTAAAAGTTTAAAACTAGGGAGGCACCAATACCAGTTTTTGGGTATCCAATATTTTCCTTTCAGTACTCACTGAGTATCGGTGCTTCCGTTGGCATGAAGCACCGGGTAGCGGGTAATGAGATGCTACCCGGCTTCCTGACTGCCAGGGAAGCCGACTCCATGTTGTTTGGACGGCTTGATTGTGAAAGGCTGGGAAGCCGGTTTCCCGGCCAATCATCATCGAGCCAGCCTGCTAGCCAATCAGGAAACCTGGCGGAGAGTAATGACCTGATTGGCCGGGAAGATGGCTCGATGCTGATTGGCGGCCAATCAGCAAGGAGCTGGCTTCCCGGCCAATCACCTGACCACGCTGACCAATGAGTGCTTGCAATTTGCAAGCACAATTCAAAATGCATAGGGCAGGAATGCGCTGGACAGTACGAGGTAAGGACACCTGTACTGGCAGAGGGTAAGGACTGTTTGCAGAAAGTTAAGTATAGCTGGCAGGTGGGGGGGTAGAAGAGACCGGGCCAGATATGATCGGGTAATTCCATTTTCCCGTATTACCTGGGAAAGTGAACTTACCCTTTAATGCACATTGTGTGTGTGAGAGAGTTCTGCTGCCCTGGTACCACAATATGGCACACAGTGAAATGGCAGCAGGACTCAACACACACACACAATTTCCTATGCGTGTGTTTATTTGTATGCAGATGGCAGGGGCAGCAGAGTTGGTTTTAATTTTTTTTTTTTTTTACTTTGTCACTTATTTTTTTTTACTTTTTATATATTTTATTATTTTACTTTTTTATAACTTTTGAAAAAAAAATTTGTCATTCTTTATTATTTTTTCATTTTATTCCTATCACATATGGTGTTAAAATGCTCTATGTGATAGTTTGGAGGTGACAGGTTCTCTTTATGGAACCTGCCCTCCAACACAGAACTGATGTTCTGTGTAGTTCCTGACAGCCAAGACAGGTGGCGCTGTGATTACAGCGCCATGGTCTCAGTGATAGCACAGAGCAGACGAAGAAAGGAACTTCTTCGTCTGCTCTGCGGGCTCTATGGTGAGCTCCCGTGCCGTGGTGACAGGTCCACCAGAGGAGCGGGGGACCCCCGAAAACCACGGCGCGGGGGGCGGACAGGATCGCCGATTCTCGCTTCATACAAGTGATCTGATTAGATCACTTGTATGAAAACGAGCGGCGGCTCCACAATATACATTTAGCTCTGCTTGTTCGGAGCAGGGCTGAATGTATTAAAAAACTACTCGCCCGGCGCCCGAAACTGCCTGCCCTGGGCGTCGGGCGATAGGAATTCCACACCCCTGATGTGATATGATTGCTTTGATATCATGTTATCGTGCATTCATTTATCTTCAGTTGGGACGATGTAAAAGTGCAGAAATAACTAAAGCCTTGCTGTGCTACAAGAACTTTAACATCTTAATGCATTTGAAATAGATTTCTAGCAATATCCCCTCAATTAAGTCTATTCAATTTCTTCTCCTTCTCAAGGACAGAACAAAATGCACCATTTTAATAACTTAAAGTGTATTACCACTTTCACAGCCAAATTGGGATAACGCCTATTTTATATGTGTTACATCTTCTCATTTACATATCATAAGCTAAGCAAATATTTTAAAAAATGCTTCTTGCAGTTTAAATTGCTTTGACTTGGGTTAGGGTTCCTTGCCTCATTAAGGGTTAAATGTTCTACTTGCTTATCCTTCTTTGTTGTTTGGAGGGCTTGTGAGAGGTGAGAGGTTTTGTAGTAGATTTGAACACTGTCTGTCTGCAAGGGTTTCTTACCCTTCCTTGTCCACTTGAGCTACAGGTTTAGCTTCTGTGCATTGTTTCTGACACTGACTGTTGCTCCTAGGTGCCCTCTTATGACCAAACCCATAGACTTAATTCTGCAACTACTGCCAAACTCCTGGAAACGTCCTGTCTCACAGTGATGATGTGACTCCAGTTCACTATATAATCATCAGTCTTTTCACTTGGCTTCTGCCATTGCATTTGTTCAGACCTACCAAGTGCTCTTTGCTTGTTGCTGTGCTCCCTGTTTACAGATCTACTAGTTCCAGACTCCGGCTATTGTACTCGATCACCCTTCTCTCTGTGTTCCCAGACATGGCTCGGCTAACTACCCGCTTTGGCTGCTGACCTCTTAGATTAGCCTATTTTATTTTGCTTATTGTCGCTTTCAATAAAGTCCTTTATTTTTTAACCAGCACTTTTAGTTTCTGGCTGGTTTCTTGGTTCCCTGATACTGTCCTAATAGAGGGTTAAAATGATTAAAAGCCTTGCTTTTGCATTGTATGTTAATGAAGGTAATGAGAGAAACACTATCCTTACATTTCAGTCCTAAGTCTTTCTATAAGGACAGATCATATATGTATTTTATTTTTTTTTTAGGCTGTGTGAATGGGAACACAGAGCAAACACATAGAGGGGATTTTTCAAATTTGGCTGCATAAGTGGAAATACACTTTAAGACAAGCCTTTAAATCATGGTGCTTGCTTTATGAGATAATTAAGCCTCCCTGCATTCTGGGGCGGAAGGGAGCATGGTGATGCCATTCATGTCAATAGCACCGCAGCCACGCCTCCCGTCCGCAGTGCATGCACTATTGTTTGCGATTGCACCGTTGGCATTGTTGTGCCTGGTGTGGGCAGGAGGCGTGGCTGCGGTTTATTGACTTGAATGGCACCACCACGCCCCCTCCCACCCCAGAATGCAGAGAGGCTTAATTATGCGATCCAGTGCATTCCAGCCACTAACCCTCCTGGAACACACTGGTGGTGGTGTTAACAAGCCATTAATCTCCACCTGGCTCATAGAAGAATAAAAAATATGAATATGCAATATTTAATTAACAGCCCCAAACACAAATATGTACAAAAACTTTATACATTACATTTTAAGCTTTTAATTTTCTGTTAGTTAAGGTTGGTTCAAACAACTCTCAAAATGACACACTGATCACTGCCAATAAAATCACAATAAATAAGCACAAATCCAAACATATTTGTATTTAAAGAAGGAAATGTGAAATGTAACCTTTTCAGTGGGTCTACCCCTGCACTGCAAGGATTAACTGCTCGTTTTGGTCTAGGAGATAAAATAAAGAAGATATACTCCCCTGATCCTCGATCCCGCTTGGCTGCTACACCGGTCCATGCAGTCTCTTCTCCCCTGGGCTCTGGCAGTCTAAGAACTTGCGACATCATCAAGTCTAATGCAGGTGCATTAGACGTGAGGATGCTGAGGAACATTTCACCGCCAAAGTGGAGGGGGAGAGAGGGGAGCGCTCACTGCTGCAGAACTGAGGATCGGTGAATATATCTTATTTTAGCCCATAGACCAAAACGAGCAGTTAACCCTTGCAAGGGTTAATTTTTACATTTCCTGGAGTTCTTCATTAAAGGTGATTTAAGTCAAAATATATGCTGAAAAAAGCAGAGTATAACAAATAAAAATGTATAACAAATGAAATGTACTTCCTTATTTTACTAAAGGCCTGTTGATGCAGTAATCGCCTTCCATCTGCCTACATTTATTTGTAGCACCTCGTTGGCTGCTACATGTGAGTCAGGTATGCCTTTTGTTGTATTATAAATTTACTTATATGTAGGGATGCACCGATACCAAGTACAGTACTTCGTACAAGTACAAGTACCGATACTTTTCGAGCTCCAGGACTAGACTAGAGAAAAATTCAAAAGTTAGGAGGCAGCTGTCATTTGTAAGGAGCACACGGAGTTCCTGTGATTTGTATATCTCTGTTTTAATGTATGATTTTGTTTTTATGAAAAAAAAGATGCACCGATACCAGTTTTGCGAGTACAAGTACTGATACATTTTTGTTTATTTTCATGTGACAGTTTTTCTAAAACAATACAGAGTAATGATTTCAGGACAGTGGTGGAACACCAGAGCCAGGTCCCAGCTGCAAAAGCTGCAACCCTGGTAGTTCTCATGAAAATGCCAAGTATCGGCATTGGTACTCGAAAATGTATCGGTGCATCCCTACTTATAGGTTATATTGCCATATTCAAACCCTCTGCAGCTGTTAGCGGCTGTGGATTGCAAGCTTACTGCCGCTGTCATAATCTTGTGACGAGAGATGTGGTTTTGGCGGGGTTACAGCTAGCATCACAGCGCTATGTCTGGAGGCACATAGGGCCCACATGTTGCATTATAGTTCAAGTACCAAGCAATCTGCAATGTGGGGACAGAGGCTGAGCATATTCAAAGGGCATGAAAAGTATGTGTCACTGCAAGCAGGGAAGTACAGTATATCCAACACTGTGGATAAAGATTTGTCTAGCAATTGCTGAGCTTTATCTTTGAAACTTCTGAGCTGGTTAACATGGAAATTAAGTGCATCATTGCATATATAATTGTTATTTTTGGCCATAGGTAAAATTTAATACTTACAGATACAACATCAAGGGCAGGAGACACAGAAGCTGATAAAATCAAGTCATCTTCTTTTTCAGCCTTTGGCAAAATATCTACTAACAGAAAATTATTCAACAGATTATTATAATACATTAACATAGAAATTGTTATACATTATGACAAAATACTGAGAATAAAACGATATAGCTTTAGTTAGTCAAGAAGACAAAATATCTGCATAAGTGGAAAATTTTAAAATAATTAAAGCCAGGAGGAGAAAATAACTGCATATTTTAAAATGAAACAGGGAAATAAAATCTTAACCCTTGCAGTGGAGCTACCCCCACACTGCAAGAGTTAAATGCTCGTTTTTTCTAGGAATCTAAAATAACAGAGTTATACGCACCCAAACCACAATCCTGACTGGCTCCTAGACTGGTCTCTTCAGCAGGTCTCCTCCACTGGTCCAGCGATGGAATATACTTCTGCTTCCTCACGTAATATACACTGTGAAGTACATGATGACTCCCTGGATCTTAGGCCACTGGAGCAGAGGGCGTGCGAGGCTGAAGGGACCGGTGTAACAGCCAGCCAGGATCGTGGTCCAGGTAATTATAGCTCTGTTATTTTAGCTCCCTAGACAAAACAAGCACTGCAAGGGTTAAGATTGTATGTGCTTGGAGTTCTTCTGAACTAAGCCGATTCTAAATACAGATTGTATTGTATCATTTTTTAAACCTAAAATTAAAAAAAATGTCAGGCTGAAACCGAAAATATTTTCTTTCTAACTTTTTGAAAATATTTTTTTTTATTTTTTTATAAACGTTTACATTTTTTATATTTTGTTTTTGATTTTTCAAAAGACTTTTTTTTTAACTTTACTTTTGGGGGCTTTGGTGAAATATCAGGGGTCTAAACAGGCCCATGAATTTTCCCTTTTAAAATAGGAAAAGAGATTGAGGTCACAGAGTCCATAATCTCTTTTTCTGCAGCCCCTGTTATAAATGAAGAGGAAGCCTTTATACTGAGTGTTCCTGTTCATTCATAAATTGTGGATGTCGTATGAGTTACTATGTACACAATTATGAATGAACAGGAAGTGATGTAGATCACTTCCTATTCATTCATAGCTTGTACATAGTAACTCATACTATGTCCAGTTACTTACAAACAGTCAGAGATCACCTGATCGCTGACTGCTTATACGGCTCTCCATCCTGACTCGCTGTCACAACTGGGCCAGCAGTGCAGTAGGAGAACTCAGTCTATTTTGACAGCTGACTCCTCTCCTTCACTGCCAGCTCGGGCTACTGTGACAGCGCAAGGCTGTCTCCGCTCCCACACCGCTCCATCCTGATCAGTCAGAGGAGGCTGGGGGGGGGGGGGAGGGGAGAGAGGGACAGGTCCTTGGAGGGGGGGGGGGGGTGCGGGAGGAGAGCCCGGCTTCCTGTGACATTGTGGCTCACATCGCTCTCCTCCCCCGCACCACTCTGTCTCCACTGACAATTTCTCTCCTCCCTGCGGAACGGTGCGCTATGTCAGAGGACATAGAGCCGCGCCCAGCGGGGAGGAGAGGAGAGAAACTATGGATGCACCACGATTTCGGACAAAAGATGGTACTTTCAGCATTTTGCCAACAGTGCCATTTTTGGCTAATATGTTTTGGCGGCTGAAATTTCTGTGCATCCCTAGTTTTTATGATAATGTGTTTGAAGTTTATGCATAATATTGCATTTTCTAGCCTGGCAACTTATTTTGCTAAAATAAATACACAAAGCAACTAGATTTTAACTGTAAAATTAAACATTTTTTATTATTTGTGCTTAAAAAAAATGTAAATCCTACAAATTTGGAATATGTTTCATAAATGAAGACTGACTACTGCTGGGCTGTTTACACTAGGAACACCAAGCTACAGATGGGTTGTTTTACACTAGGAACACCAAGCTACAGATGGGTTGTTTTACACTAGGAACACCAAGCTATAGATGGGTTGTGTTAAACTAGGAACACCAAGCTACAGATGGGTTGTTTTATACTAGGAACACCAAGCTACAGATGGGTTGTTATATACTAGGAACAACAAGCTACAGATGGTTGTTTTATACTAGGAACACCAAGCTACAGATGGGTGCTTTATACTAGGAACAACCAAGCTACAGATGGGTTGTTTTATACTAGGAACACCAAGCTACAGATGGGTTGTT